CGTGTCAGGGGGGAAGCCAAGGAAGACGCAGGAAACAGCACGGGGGGACAGCTTGTCCGCAGACAAGTCGCGGACAAAAGTCCGAGATCCCCAAACACGAAATGCAGACGCATCGCCAACCTTCCCCGTCCACCGCAGAGTAGGGGAGGTCTCCGGCAAGGATACCCGGGGCTGAAGGTTGATCTGATGCGCCGCGTACTGAACCGCGAACGGCCACAGAAAATGGGGAGCACCCGCATGGATCATGGACGTACAAACCACGTCCATGACCATGCCAATCCCATTTCGCTGTGGAGAGGCCGGAAGAGTGAACGTCTGGCGGATGCCCTGTGCACGACAGAAGGCTCTCAGAAGGTCAGAGGAAAACTCACAGCCTCTGTCAGAGTGCAGACGCAGAACAGGAAAGTCCGAGCCGAAACTCTCTCAGAGCTGGAGACGAGCTGCGCGGATCCAATCGATCAACACCTCAGTGACTTCACCCTTGCTGCGCAAGTGGAAGACCGTGGTGTAACGCGATTAGTCGTCAACCACTAGCAGGAAGTAACGCTCGTGACCCTGTCCACGGACGCGGGCGGGGCCCCACATGTCCTGGTGAAGCGTCTGCAGCGGAGCCTCGGTCGGAGGAAACTCGGAGGAGTGAGGAGCGGCGCGCTGCCGCCCCTCGACGCAGGGAACGCAGGTGGGGGCAGGCCCCAGAGGAAGAGGAGGGAGGGACCGGGGGAGACCAGAGACAAGGTACCGAGAGGCCATGCCTCGGAGACGAGGCAGGGAGGGGTGACCAAGGCGGTGGTGCCAGAGGAGAGTCTGGTGAGACAGGAGACGACACGAGCAGGGGGCAGACTCAGGACCAGACCTGGACACTGCAGCAAACATCTTACCCGACGCAGCTACCTGACCACACGCAGCAACCGGAGGAGACTCAGTAGTCAGTGTGTACAGGCTCGACCCCAGCTGACGGGTAAACGTGGCCAAGTGTCGGCCGGTCCGAGCACACGTACAGTGGGTCACTAGCTGACTCGCAGGAGTGAACTGGTCAACCCCTCCATCCTGTAGGTCAGCACCACTCACCAAGTTCGTAGAGAACGAGGGGAGGTAAAAACCTGACAGGGTGCCAGAACGGGCCGCCGGACACGGTAAGACAGTGGAGAAGTGGGCAAGGACAAGACCCCCAGAGGGGTCCGCCAGGGAGACTGCAACCGGCCGACTAAGTGGCGTGAGTGTGGTGCGGTCTCGAAAGAAGGAGCGGGAAGCACCCGAGTCAAGGGTGAAGGTGTGCAAAACCGGAGCCGACGTGGTGCCTGAGAGAGCAGACTCACTAGCACCTGGGGCAGCAGACTCTCCAGTACCTAGAGTAGCAGACGCACTGGCTCCTAGAGCAGCTGCCTCACCAGCACCTAGAGCAGCAGCCTCAATGCCTGGGTCTGGCGGAACACACAGGTAACAGTCACCCTCATCACTAGCATGAAATGTATACATGGCTGTGAGGATAGCATCATAGTCAAGAGTATAGATATCTACCCTCTGCTCAAGTAGCTGCACCCAGTCGGGGAGCTCACCTGCGTCACCAAACTCCGTACGCCAGGCGTCGCTCAGACGGGCGAAGCAACGGGACTCTGTGTGACCGAACGTCCTGCAAGGCTGACCAGTCCAAGCACCAGTGCGAATGACGTACGGACAGCGAGCAGTACTCCATGACCCTCCACGCTGGGCGTACCACTCACGAAGCTGCTGGGGTGAAAGGAACGCACGCGGACGACGCTGCAGCTGCACCTGGCCACTACAAGCAGCTCCCAAACTACTCATCCAGGACGACTCCCACGACGGCCACCCCGACAACCCCAAGTAGCGTACCACTCACGAAGCTGATGGGGGGCGAGGGACTCACGCGGACGGCGCTGGAGCTGCATCTGGCCACACGAGGAGCAGAAGTAGCAGTAGAAAGAACAGTAGCAGCAAGAGCAGCAGTAATAGCAGTAACAGCAGTGCTCACCAGTGGCAAGAAGGGCAGGTGTACGACAGCGGCAATGGCGAGGCCGCTACCACCGCAGGGCGAGGGCTCCGCGGCTGCTGCAGGGGCTGCTGCTGCAGGGGCGGCTGCTGCAGGGGCGGCGGCTCCAGGGGCCAGGGGCGGCTGCTCCAGGGGCCAGGGCGCCGCGGCGGGCAGGGGCGGCGGCGGCTGACACGGTAGCGGCGGCGGCGGCTGCTGCTGTCGGCGGCGGCGGCTGCTGCGGCCGGGGCAGGGGCAACGGCGGCTGACACGGCAGCGGCGGCGGCGGCGGCTGCTGTTCTCGGCGGCGGCCGCCGCTGCTGTTGTCGGCGGCGGCCGCTGCTGCTGTCGGCGGCGGCGGCTGCTGCTGTCGGCGGCTGACACGGCAGCGGCGGCGGCGGCTGCTGTTGTGGACGGCGGCGGGGCGGCAGGGCCGTGAAGGGGCCGCGAAGGGGCCGCTAAGGGCGGCGAAGGGGCAGATAAGGGGCCGCGAGGGGCCACTAAGGGGTTGCGAGGGGCCACGAAGGCGCGGCGACGGGGCCGAGAAGGGGCCGCAAGGGGCCACGAAGGGGCCGTGAGGGGCCGCAAGGGGCCGCGAGGGGCCGCGAGGGGCCGCGAGGGGCCGCGAGGGAGCCGCGAAGGGGCCGCGAGGGGCTGTGAAAGGGGCCGCGAAGGGCCGCGGAGGGGCCGCGAGGGAATGGCGAAGGGGCCGCGAGGGGCCGTGAGAGGGGCCGCTACGGGGTCGTAAGAGGGCGCGGCGGGCCGCTAAGGGCAGGGGACGCGACGGGAGGGCAGGCACACGGGGAGCGACTCGGGCAGGGGCGGAGCGCGCTTCGGGCAGGAAAAAAAAAATCGATTTTCGGTGGGCCCTAGGAAACGTTCCCACTAGGGAACCTGCTCTATACCATGTGAAAGAACGAGGAATGAGTGCACTAGGAAACAGGTGGGTACAAGTAGGAAAAACCTAAAAGTGTTGTACCCCATATTATCTACCCCACTACAGCCTACACAAACTATAGCATATAAGTTTGACAGTTTTGGCACAGTCTGATGGTTTCGACTCTAATCTGATGGTAATCCTCCCGTAAATCTATTTTCGAAAAAACCCGTGCTGTTCGCAGTTGGTCTATCAGTTCGTCGGCGCGGGGAATGGGGTACCGCGATTTGACTGTTACCCTGTTGAGCGCTCTGTAATCGATGCACATGCGAAACCCTCCGTCTTTTTTCAGCGTGAACAGTATCGGTGCGGCGAACGGTGACGAACTCGGTCGGATGAATTTCTTCTCTAACAGGTAATCTAATGATGGCGTGGTCGCCGCTTGTCGCCGCAAATTCCACGTGCCGACGGGCTTCGCGAGGCTCCCGCGGGCTTGGCGCGACCCTGTTCCTTTCCATGCCAGGCATCGAGTGGGCGGCGCCATCACTGGCTGCACCTGAGCGTTGTCCCACGCTGTCATGCTGTGTCGGTGTGCCTGATGAAATGATGATCAGCTCCTCCGATTGTGCAGGTGCATTTGCAGGTGCGTGTGGTGGCGCTGTAGTATTCACCGTGGATTGCTGACGCGCGGAGTCACGTTTTGCTGTGAGCGTTGCTATTTCAAGCGCCGACTCCTCAACACGGTTGGGTTGCTCCTGCGTTAGTGTCGCGAGAGTGAATTCGGCCATGGCGGGGGTGTCGGGCAAGCTTAGCGAGAGCCTCTGTCGTGGCCGTGCGTGCTTACAAGAGAGCACTACGAGCGGCGGTGCTGTGTCGCTGAGAGACGTCTACCCCCCCCAAAAAAATGAGATAGTGGGGAAGCGAAGGTGTGGGTGCGGTACGAGAAGAGATCATAGGCTCTGAATACCAAGTGTTACGAGTGCAATTGAGTGATTGAACGATAATTGCACTATCGAAGCAAGAGTACAATGAGCGGAAGGCATGAGTGAAGAATATATAGCGAAACTACAATGGTAACGGTAATGAGCTGTGGGTGACGCGCAACGGGCCTGGGACTGAGGTTGGGAAAATGTCGAGGCGGAGGCCCGGAGCGCGGGTTACGGTACCCGCCGAGCCGTGAGGTCGGGGTGCGACGTGCGAAGGTGGCGGGAGGATTGTCGATGCGAGGGTTGCGAGTGGTAACGGTGCTGACTGTGGTGCTACAGTGGTGTACGCGCTGAGCAGGGACGCGAAGTAAGGAAAATGAAATTTTCCTTACAAACATGCAACAGCAACACTCTACGAGGTTCTTCGATAGTTGAATGCATTGAGGCTGCTTCATATTGACATAGAAACAGCTGCACTGCTCATACACATGCTAAATATGGGTGAAGTGTGACTATATCGAGAAGAACGTAGGGTGAGATGCTCCATGGTCGTATGCGGTGTGCGTGTAGGTGCTGGGTATAGAGTTAGGTACTTTCCAGAGGGCTTGACGAATTGAGCTATCTATGTATTATGCTCTAGATTTTTCTGGTGCCATATTCAATAGAAGGCAACATTGATCTATTTTAAAATTTGATTGCACTGCTGTTGATTGGATGGTAGTGATTCATACTTATACAACCCATTATATTTTTTAGCTGTGAAATTTTGGTGGAGGAAGGACAGCCCCAATGCCAGCTTCACTCATAAAGCTGGAAATCTATAGCGCATCATTTTGGCGGGAAATTTGACTTCACGAAAGTGTGTTTCTGACGACGCTCCCAAGGGTTAGCATAGCTGGACTGGCTTGGTGCTATGGGAGGGGAAATCCATTTTTCCGGCCCGATAACTCAAGGTGACATGCGGCAGGAGCAGCAGCAACCTGGTTAGACCCTGGGAATGCCAGTAGCCTCCTAATTCGACCTTGAGAATCTCCACTACCAACGCATTGGGAAGGGTAGATCCATCTCACGAATCTCATTCTTGTTCATCTTGCCCATTCTTACACCACAGCAGTCTCTGCTTTCAGCTTCTTTTTTCATAAAATAATCTTCCGCGTGTCGGAGCTTGCTCCTTAGCCACAATATGCCAGGTCCTCAGGTTCACGAGGGGATGGTCCACCGGATAGAGGTGGAGAATTTCAAGTCTTACAAGGGTCGGCAGGTCATCGGCCCGTTCATGAATTTCACAGCCGTGGTTGGCCCGAATGGCGCGGGGAAATCAAATCTCATGGACGCCATAAGCTTCGTGCTGGGCGTGCGGTCGGCGCATCTACGCGGCTCGCAGCTCAAGGATTTAATCTACGCCTTGGACGACGACGATCGCGATGACCCGAACCGCGGAGCGCACGTGATGCTGGTGTATATAAAGTCGTCGCAGCCCGCTTCGACGTATTCTGGGATGGAGGAGCTGCAGTTCACTCGCGCTATAACGAGTTCTGGCAGCAGCCAGTATCGGATCAACGGCTCGGTGGTTTCATGGGACGACTACAACTCGCGGCTTAAGGACATCGGCATCCTCGTTAAAGCACGAAATTTTCTCGTCTTTCAGGTCCGTGCAAAAACGAAGAAAATAAAAGAAAAGAAAAAGGATCTCCTCTGAGTGAAACGACGTATCAATATCAGCATGACGTGGCGTCCTCTCGTGCTTCCACAGGGTGACGTGGAGTCGATCGCGTCCAAGAGCCCCAAGGAGCTGACGGGGCTGTTCGAGCAGATCGCTGGATCGGACGAGCTGCGCAAGGAGTACGAGGCGCGCGAGGCGGACAAGAGCCGCGCGGAGGAGCGCACCATGTTCGCGTACCAGAAGAAAAAGAACATGAGCTCGGAGAAGAAGCACAAGAAGGAGCAGAAGGAGGAGGCCGAGCGGCACCTCAAGTTGCAGCAAAATCTGGTGGGTGGATCCGATCCTGCGCCGACTCTGGGTCATTACATCGTTTATGATGTTTAACTACCTTTCCGTTTTTTTTTTTTTTTTAACAATTTCATCCAAGTGTGGTGTTTGATTTTCCGTGACCGGTTCCCCCGCTTGCCCGTGTGCTTTCGCTTTGTGTTGCAGAAAGACAAGCGCGCCGAGTTTTACCTCTGGCAGCTGTACTGCATCGAGAAGGAGATGAACGCGGCTCGCAGCGCGCTGGCGGCGTCGCGGGAGGAGCTGCAGCGCGTGCAGGAGGAGCAGGGCGACGTGGAGAAGCGGCAGCGGGAGAAGATGCGCGAGCGCGCAGTGCATAGCAAGGACGTGTTGACTGCAGAGAAGAAGGTGGCGCGCAAGGCTGCAGAAATTGACAAGAAGGCAAGTCACAGATTTTTATGTTTGAGAGTCTAATGCGCTATGCAACATGGTCATAGATAAATTCTTTTGCGTTCGCTTCCCTGTTTCAACGCTTCTTTGGCCGATTTTTCCTGCCCGCAGCGGCCGGAGATGGTGAAGGTGAAGGAGGAGATGCGGCGCGCGGAGCAGCGGCTGAAGGAGGACGTGGAGAAGCTGGAGAAGCTGCAGGCGCTGCAGGCGCGGCAGCAGGAGGAGGTGGCGCGGTTGGAGCGCAGCCTGGAGGACGTGCAGGGCGAGCTGGCGGACATGGAGGGCATGAGCCAGGCGGGCGGCCAGCAGCAGCTGCACCTCGCGCAGAGCCAGCTGGAGGAGTACCATAAGAGGTAAGGATGGGGTTGAAAGCGTCTTACCTTTCAGTTTTCTGTACATTTCTTTGATAGCCTTGGGTTGTGGAACGTGCAACGGAGCCTCATGGAAACTACTGTCCGACTCGCTCTGCTGCTGTTGTTGTTGTTGTTGTTTTTGTTGTTGCTTCCGCTGCTGCTGCTGTTCTCCTTCAGGAAGGAGGAGGCAGGGTCTAAGACGTTTAGGCTGCGGCAGGAGAAGGAGGCGCTGGACCGGCAGCAGCATTCGGACGTGGAGGCGCAGAGGAGCATGGAGGCGAGTGTGGCGCAGATGGCGGGCAGGGAGGAGCAGCTGGGCGTGCACCTGGAGCAGGCGCGCGCGCGCGTGGAGCGCGTGGGGAAGGACCTGGCGGAAGGGAGAGAGGCTCTTGAGCGGCTGAGGAAGGAGGAAACTGAGATGCGCGATCGCCACCGCCGCGCTCGGTGAGTTGGTTGGTTGTTGCTGCCGGAAGGATGGCAGGATGGGGGTAAAAGGAGGGGGGGTTGTGATGGGTGGGGAGGGGGGAGGAAAGGGGAGGGGAAAGAGAATGGGGTTGGAAGCGGGTGGAGGGCTGAGGATCTCTGCATTTCTGTTTGCTTCTGGCGTTTCCTAGTTACTTTGTCCTTGTCCAACCCTTGCTTGTACAATTCATAGGACTTTCCTGAACTCCTGCGAGCAGGCACCGAGCAGAGGCACTGGAGCAGCGGTTGGAGGAGGCAGAGGCGCAGCTGCGGGAGCTGAAGGCGGACCGGCGGGAGAACGAGCGCGAGACGAGGATGGCAGAGACTGTGGCGACCATGAAGCGCCTGTTCCCGGGCGTGCATGGGCGGCTGTCGGACCTGTGCAAGCCCACGCAGCGGCGGTTCAACATGGCGGTTACTGTGGTGATGGGGAAGCTGTTTGATGCTGTGGCTGTGGAGGATGAGCGCACGGCCAAGGAATGCATTGAGGTGAGGGCGTGGAAGTTAGAAGGGGATGGAGGAGAGGAAGGGGTTTGAGGAAGTGAGCGGGTGAAGCTAGGGGTTGTGTGCTTTCTGCTGCTGCAGTTGCGTCCTCTGTGCACCTGAATAAGCCTCTGGAGATGTAGTTTCACCTCGTCCTCTGATCTCTCCATGCACACCTAACTTGTTTCTTTGTCTCCTCCTCGGCCTTCTCTCCCTGTTCTTTCCCCTCTCGCTCCCTGCTCACCAGTACCTGCGCGCGCAGCGCCTGCCACCCATGACATTCATTCCCTTGCAGACGGCGCGAGTGAAGGCAGTGAACGAGCGCCTGCGGTCGCTGGGAGGCACATGCAAGCTCGTGCTGGACGTCATTCAATATCCTCCTCACAGCACTCTCTCTGCCCTCTTCCTCTTCCTCCTCCCCACTCACTCCTCTGGTGCTGCTCTGGTCTTGCCCTCTGCAACTCCTCGTTACTTCCTTGTCCCTAATCGCAGTTGCCCTTGTCACCGTTGTTCGCATGACGACCCTTGCTTGCTGTGTTCCAATCATTCTCTGTTCTCCTTAACTCTGGTTCGTTGCATACTCTGTGCTGACTGTGCTTGTGCGCTATTGCTGGGAGCACGTACGATCCATCAGTGGAGGTGGCGATGGTGTATGCTGTGGGTAACACACTCGTGTGTGACAATCTGGATGAGGCTCGATCTGTTGCGTGGGGCGCAGAGAGGCACAAAGGTGTGTGTGTGTGAGTGTGTGTGTGTTTGGGTGGGGAGCGTGGGGGGGGGGGGGGGGGGGGGGGGGGGGGGGGGGGGGGGGGGGGGGGGGGGGGGGGGGGATGGTTGCTTCTGTGCGTGCGTGTGTGGGGTGAGAGGGAGGTGTATGTGTGTGGTTCTGTGTGTGTACCTCCTCCTCCATCCTGTTTTACAGGTCGCTTGACCATGGCACGCAGTGATAGTTCTTGACTGCATTGTCTAGACCCATTGTCGTCTTCTTCCATTCAGAAAGTCCCTAAACGCATGAACGTGGAACTTAATGTTGTGTGTGTGTGTGTGTGTGTGTGTGTGTGTGTGTGTGTGTGTGTGTGTGTGTGTGTGTGTGTGTGTGTGTGTGCGTGTGTGTGTGTGTGTGCGTGTGTGAGCGTGCGTGTGTGAGCGTGCGTGTGTGAGCGTGCGTGTGTGTGCGTGCGTGTGTGCGTGCGTGCGTGTGTGAGCGTGCGTGTGCGTATGTGCGTGTGCGTGTGGGTGTGTGCATGTGTGTGTGTGTGTGCGCGTGTGTGTGCGCCTGTGCGTGTGCATGTGAGTGTGTGCGTGTGCATGTGTGTGTGTGCGTGTGTGTGCGTGCGTGTGCGTGTGCGCGCGCGTGTGTGTGTGTGTGCGTGTGTGTGCGTGTGCGTGCGTGTGCGTGTGTGTGTGTGTGCGTGTTTGTGCGTGTTTATGCGTGTGTGTGCGTGTGTGTGCGTGTGTGTGCGTGTGTGTACATGTGTGTGTGCATGCATGCTGCCACATCCCATCTCACGCCCCTGCATGCGTGGCACACAGTGGTGGCACTGGACGGCACGTTGCTGGCCAAGAATGGCTGCATGACAGGAGGCACCAGTGGAGGCATGGAGACCCGCTCGCAGCGCTGGGACGAGCAAGAGGTTGAAAGTAAGCTCCCTAAATGCCGTTCCGTTACTTTTCCCAATCTGTCCTCTTCTTGCGGTTTTTATAAATTGTGCCCCTGTCTTTCCCCCTTTTCTTTCCCTGCCTCCTCCCCCCTTCCCCCTTCCTGCTCCCTCCACCGGCCCACCCTCCCTCCTGCTGTTGTCCGTTCTGCACACTGCATCCCTGCGTCATGACTCATGCGTCATTCTGAGTGTGTGCATCATTTGTTTGTGCGTGTGTGCCACAGAGCTCAAGGCAGCGCGGGACAAGGTGGCAAAGGAGCTGTCAGAGGTGCTGTCAGTGCGCGAGGCGCAGAGCAAGGAGCAGGAGATTGCTGCGCGGATCGCAGGGCTAGAGAGGAAGACACAGTACGCAGAGATGGAACTGGTGCGTTTCATGTGCCGTGTGCTGTGTGCTTGTGCTCGCCTGCTCTCTTCCCATTCTGCCCTGTGCGTGCACCATCTACCATGCATAAGGCCCCGGGGTTGCATTGCATTCCCTCGCAGATTCTTTCGTTCCCTTTCCTTGTCTTTGCACGCATGGACCCGCCCCATGCACTTTTTCCACTTGCTCTCCCTTTCCACTAGCTCTCCCTCTCCCTCCCCCTCGCTCACTCACCCTACTCACCTTTGTTTCCCCATGACACAATCCTGTTCGTGCAGAAAATGTCCGAGGAAAAGGTAGCCAAGGCGGAGCAGGAGATGGCAGTCATGGCAGCAGAAAAGGACAGAATCTCCCCGGAAATCACCCGGGTCAGTGCCTTGTACCGGCCTAGTCAGTGCCACTTGCTGCATGCTCTGGCTGCTCTGTCTGCTCTGTCTGCCCTGCCTGCCCTTCCTTCTCTTGTCTGCCTGCACTTCATAAGTGTGGCGGCGATTACAACCTTCCTTCACTTGTCGACCTTCCTCCAACACTTGGCACACACACACACACACACTTGACTTGATCTCTGCATCGCACTACTCTGTGCAGCTGACTGCAGCAGTAGAGGCACGGCTGGAGCAAGTGGGGGCGAAGGAGCAGAGGATAAACGAGATCACGGACCGGGTGTTCCGCGAGTTCAGCCGCACCGTGGGAGTGGCGAACATACGAGAGTACGAGGAGAACCAGCTGCAGCAGGCGCAGCAGCTTGCGGAGCGCAGGCTCGCTCTTGCCAACCAGATTGCCAAGCTCTCCAATCAGTGAGTGTGGAGCTGCTGCCTCTGATATGAGTTGCAGGGATATGGTTGCCAAGTGTTGTGCTGGCGTCCCGAGTGTTGATGTGGGCTACTGTGGGCGGCTGTGGGCAGCTGTGGAGTGATGTACAGCGCTAGAGATGAAGGCACGAAAACTTTTACTAACCAGTGTTTGACTGGTTGTGTATTGTTTGTGTGTGTGTGTGCGCGCGCGCGCGTGCGTGTGTTTGTGTGTGCATGCATGTGTTTGTATATGTACATGCTTGCGTATGTGCGAGCGTGCGTGTGTGTACCTGTGTGTGTGCGCGTGCGGGCATGTGTTGTGCATGTGTGCGGTGTGTGTTGCCCATGTGACACACAGACTGGAGTATGAGCGGCGGCGGGACAGTAAGGGGCCAGTGGAGGCGCTACAGGCAAGCATGGAGCAGCAGAGGCAGCACCTGGAGGAGCTCACACACACGGGGCGCAGACTGCAGGCCGCTCTGGAAAAGGCCCGGGACGAGCTGCAGGCACTCAAGGTGCCCGTGGAAGGTGAGGTGCCGAAGGCTGGATTCCGTACATGAATGGATGGTTGCATGTGGAAATTGATGGCCTGCTGATGATGGGTCCAGTGGAAGGTACGGGCTTGGAGGAGCTCACTCATGCAGGGCGTAGGCTGCAGGCCGCACTGGAGAAGGCCCGGGACGAGCTGCAGGCACTCAAGGTGCCTGTGGAAGGTGAGGTGCCGAAGGCTGGAGCCTGGAGGCCTTGAATAAATGGCTGGGTGCATGTGGGAGGCGAGGGTTGCAACAAGGCTGCCACAAGGGTGTAAACATGTTGTGTTGGCCTTCAGACTGTTGATCAAAGGCCGAGCTTCCTAACTGCTGTTGGCCTTTGGAGGTGGCTGAGCTTCCAATGTCTTCGTTGAATGCTTGCTTGTGTGCTGACTAACATAACTCTGAGCCGTGCATCTCATCACCCCCGTCTCTCTGTGTGAGGCTTTGTCCTGCTGTCTCAAAACTCTTGCGTCTCGAACCTCTGTGTCACACGCCCTGCGTGCAGAGGCGAAGGCCCAGGCAGAGGCAGTGGAGGCAGAGGTGCAGGCTCTGAGCAAGGCTGCCAGTGCACTCACGGCCAAGCTGGGCAAGGCCAAGCGCAGCATCACTGCTAAGGTGCGCTTGATTGCTTGCCCAGTCGGAAGGTAGCTTGAAGGGCGAGTGCATTCAAAGCACGGTGGTGCTACTGAGTTGACTGGAATAGAAAGTGTTGAGTTGACTGAAAGAGTGTGCTTGATAGTTGACCGTAAGTTACTGTGAAGGGTAAGGAGGGCATCACAGGTTAACTGGTGCTCTGTGCTCCTCCTGACCCCTTCTTCCCTTCTTCCCTTCTCCCCTTCTTCCCTTCTCCCCTTCTTCCCTTCTCCCCTTCTTCACTTCTCCCCTTCTTCCCTTCTCCTCTTCTCCCCTTCTTCCCTTCTCCCCTTCTTCCCTTCTCCCCTTCTTCCCTTCTCCCTTTCTCCCCTTCTCCCCTTCTCCCGTTCTCCCCCTCTCCTCCCCCCTCTGCAGGAGGCGATGGTGGTGCAGCTGCACGCGCGGAGGGGAGAGGTCCTAGAGCGGTGTGAGATGGAGCAGGTGCCAGTGCGCACAGCAGCGGGTGCGCTCGTGCCCTCAGTGCCGCTCACTGACACACAAGCAACAGGAGCAGCAGGGGGGTCCAGCCAGGCAGGCAGCAGCAGCGCTGTGGGCAGCGGGGGAGGCACGGCAGCGGATTTTTCGGCAGGGGTGGACGAGCCTCTGGATTTCTCGACGCTGCCTTCCAGCCTGAAGAAGGTGGGTTGGCTCCGTTGCGTGTTGCTCCTGCATGAGGCGACCGAGAAGGTTAGTGTGGTGTGGAGTGGTTTGCGGTGTGCCGGCAACGGGGGAGGAGGTAGGGGGAGCTGCGCAAGAGTGTGGTGGTTGCAGAGCAGACATGGATAATCAACTAGTCCTACTCGTGCATACATGTTACATATGTATGTATAGTGTATAGTGCATAGTGTTTATATGCTGCAGACTCCGTCTGTGCTGCGATCGTGTGTGTGCAGGCAGTGACGGGGGAGGAGAGGGAGCGCAAGGAAGCAGAGCTGCGCAAGGAGATGGAGGAGGTGGCGGGGGAGCTGGAGCGCACAGCCCCCAACCTCAAGGCGCTGGAGCAGTTTGAAGCCCTGCGCGCCAA